CGTCCAGATAATTTTCTTATTACCGTTGTATTATACACCAATCACAATAAAGACTCAGGCGCATCGCCGTTTTCGGCATACGTATGATCTATCTGTCTCTGAAGAAACAACGTTGTTGGGTTGGCATAGTCCTGAACGATCGAGAGCTAAGGTAATTTGAATTGAAGTTAGCAACATTCTTTTCAACGATAGGTTTTCTGACTGGTTCGCATTATGATATCAGCAGGACATCAGCTGACTTTCATTATACTTCGAATAATCAGAAGAAGTCGTCGCTTTGAATAATAGACGTACGTGCTGCAGGATGCGACGAAGTTTTGCGTACTGTTTTCGTAAAGACTTTTTGGAAGCGACTGAGCTTTCTTCAACGCTGTCTATACCTTTCCTGATTGGTTCGCATTATGATATCAGCAGGTAAATAAGTTCCATATTTGAACCTCTTGGAACTTTTTCTTTCACAGTTTGGCAGTTTTTGGAGAGTTATGGATGGATTGTGGTTCTTGGTACCGCACTCAGCTATGCCATCTATGCCAACGTGTTGCAGCCAAAGATTGAAGAAATAAAAGCACACAAAGATGCTGCAGAAAGAAAAAAGTTTGGTAGGTTATACCACTTCTTTTAATCTAAGTTACTATTTATAGATGATAACGTGCATTCTAAGGTTGCTTCTGACGTCGAGAAAGCGCGTCTCCGTCAACAAGAAGAGCACGATCGTGTATCCTCTGAACTCAGAGAATTAGAGGAAAAACGTAAAGCTGAGAAACTTGCTGAATACTTAAGCGTAATGCTTTTTTGAATTGTTGAATATATGATCTACATATCGTTTCCAGCAAGAGAAAGGATTTGGAACTGCCAAACCAAGTTTTGAAAAGAAGAAAAAGGCGACACCAGCAGAGATCATCGAGAGCTACGTTGTATCGAAACCCATTGTGATATTCAGTAAAACTCATTGTCCATTCTGCCGGTGAGATACATTCTCTCAGAGTGCAGTATAACGTTCCTCTGTTTAGGAAAGTGAAGAGCATCTTATCCACCTTTAGACTAGACTCTTCTCAGTATGTATACGTAGAGCTTGATGAACGCGATGACTGTGAAGCTATCCAACAAGAATTCATAAGATCGTATGGAAGCAGATCTGTACCTAAAGTAAGTTCTTCAGAATAGTTTTTCTCAAATTATTGCTTAGGTTTTCATAAATAAAAGTTTGATCGGAGGATGTGATGACACTGTAGCTCTGAACGAAGCAGGTGCTTTGGCTCCTTTAATTGAAGAAGCTCTTGCCGATTTTGCATAAGTGATTGATTAAGAATTTTATAGATTGGGGTCATTAATTGTTAACTGTATTGTTTTATAATGAATTATTCAAATCGTTCTGAGTTGGTTTACTTGTGGTTATGAATCTCAGTGCAGTACTTATGCTTTTTGGGCAGTTCGTTGAAAAAGCTCCGTTCATTTTAAGATGGCTGAGAAAAAAGACATAGGATGGATGTATGAGGGGGTGAAGGCTGATGTCAATCGCG